GGACCCCTGCTCTCCTGCAGCCTTGGTCATCCAGGGTAACCAAACCTCCCAGTTTGTGTGGGACTGAGGGCATTCCCAGGACATGAGACTTGCAGAACAAAAACCAAGATGGTCCCGGGAAAATAGGGATGAGTTGGTCCCTCACCAGAGTCCAAGGCAAGTATAAATGAGCATCCAGTGGTCCAAGGAGAGGGGACAGAGGTCTTATTGGCTAGATGGCCAACCTCATGCAACAGTGTCAACAGGTCCCCTGCCAACCTAGTGAGAGGCTTTCACAAAGAGTTTATAGGTCCTGACTTCCAGGAGCTTCCTAACTCCTCCTACCAATTCCACTCCTCTGCTGACACCACATAGGAGGCCACGTGGGAGGGATGCGACATGTTAAGAGATCACCGTGGCTCTCTGTCTGAGAGGTTCCTGTGCCCCCCGGTGAGCTCCTGGCATTGCACAGTCTCAGTGCCCCCCGCTCACCACCATAAGCAAGAAGAGTCCAAACTTGGCACGACCACAGGCACCTCAGGCCAACCTCACCCTGCTACATCTCCACCGTCAACAGAGGACAAGTGCTAGGAGGCCAAAGTTCTCCGCTTTGCCTCCTACAGCCACATACGCAGAAGGCTCTAACGGTCCGAGGGTGGAGGGGTCAGGTGGATGGAGAGAGTCTAACTCCGTCAGAACACAGGAAAGCCTCAGTGGGGTGTCTGCCCTCTCAGCCCCCTTACCGTGAAGACCTCTCAGTGGCTGTGAATGGAGGATGACGTGAAACCGCCTCACCCTCTCTGTCCTCGGCTGACTCCACACTCACCTCAGACCTCAGTGGAAGGACCTGACTCAGCTCAGTGGCCGTGCTGGCCCTTGACCTCTCCCTTTTCCTTTGAGCAGCAGCCCCAGGCTGAGTCCTCGGCTGCCAGAGGCCATGGAGGCCCCCACAGGCCTCCCCCCCTCACTCTGGAGCTTCGACCTCTGGGAGATCCTGCCACACAAACGTCTGTCTGATTAGCTGGAATCCTCCCTGATGTCTTCAAACCTGCCTGGTAAGGAGCCCCCACCTTGGGCAGAACCCCATGCCAGACATGCTAGTGGTCGTGAGCCAGGAACAGGATTCGCCGTAGGATTTCAAGTGGCTGCTGGGCAGCTGCCTTCCGCATGCCTTGGAGACCAGGGTGAAAGTGGAGTGAACAACCCCTCTGTTGTCTGAGATCAGAAGAGCATTCTGTTTCCTTAAAGACAGGAGAGGGGCCAAGGTAGGCTTTTACAGGAGTTCTTCTTTATTAGAGTGAAAAATGATGGAACAGCTTCCTATAATAGAGACTTCCAGCCCCCAAAGGAAACAGGGCGACAAGTTCCCCAAGAGCAAAATGTTGCTAAGTTGAGCCATGACGCCAGCATGCGTTTTCCCCAAACAAAGACACCTTCCCGCATCACCACTAATTCAAGAAATCCACTCTGAGAGGACCCCCGGTCCAGGCCTCAGACCCCGTTAGGACTCTGCCATCTGTCCCCCGCATGTCTCCTTCATTTTGGTCCAGATGCCACTCAGAGACACACGTTGCACTTAGTTATCGCATCTCTTTAGCGTTTGTGAATCTGAAAGATTCCCTGGTCTCTGCCTGCCTGTCACGCCCTTGATAGTTTTGAAGCGTGCGGGCCCTGCAGTGAGCAGGACGGCCCTCCATATGGGTCCGTCTGACGTTTCTTGGCAGGAAACTCATGGGAGTGAGGCTCTGCTCCATTAGTGCGTCACGTCAGGGGGCACGTGACGTTGACCCGTCCCTCCCATGGTGGCCCTACCCTTCCTCACCTGTTCATGCTGGCGGCCGTCAGGCGTCTCCATGGCAAAGGCCCATCTCTGCCTTTGCAGTTGATTAGCATTTTGTGGGAAGATATTAGAGATCTTGCTAATATCCTTTTTCTATTTCAACCTCCTTCACTAGCATTGGCTTCTACTGGCTACTGCTGTTTGAGTTCAGACAACGCCAGTCTGAATATCTCAGATGAGGGAGAGAGTTACCAAACGGTCATTTTCTATTTCCATCATTCTTTCCATTGATTACTTGGCCTTCTACCGTAAGGAAGCGTTTCCCCTTTCTGCTGTCTTATTGATTTATTACTATTATATTAATATCGCTATGAAGTTGTGGGTTGCAATTTTATTCCATGGGTTCCAGTCCGTTATTATCATTCTTTATTTGATGTTCAATTTATACCATTTTTGACCAGTTGAGGCTTCTTCTAGGTGGCTCCTGTGTCTTTTTAACACGTTGCCCTCATTCCTTGTGCACTTGCTTATTTTCTGGTGCAAGAAGATGTTACGGGCGTATTTTATACTTCCTCATCCTCGGAATCAGCCATTTCTGCAAGGATTCTTTGTTCCTTTAAGTGGGACATGGTATTTAAAAACCAAAGTATGGTGCTGGGTATGCTCGTTACTATGGGGCATCATTGCTTCTAGACCCTCTGAGTGGGCAGAGCTGGGAATATACATATGTATGTATGTGTCTTCACACACATATGCAAACATTTATCTACAACAATTTCTATACCTATGTAAGTATGGGTACATATGCGTGTTCTACATGTATCGCTACAATAACGTAACTTCCACTGTAATCAAATATATCTCAGTTCTCTCCCTTCTTTCCCCATTCCATGTATTTAAATACCTTTGGTTTTCATTACTTATTTATTTAGTAAATGTATTAATTTGCCCATGTAACCATCTCCCCAAAATGTCAACACCTTCAGCTGCTGTCAGAGTCCCCCACAACCCATGTCGCATGTTCTTGAGGGCCAGCAGGTGCCCGTTCATTCCCTCCAGAAGGCCTGCGAGGTCCCCCATGCTCTGCTTTGCACCCTCACTCACTGGACGTCTCTGAAGACGACAGTCACGCGGTGGTTGTTTTGGACTTCAATGTCCCAGACACATTGGGCGTTGTTCGGATAGTTCCCAGGACAGGATGGCCTGGAAAAGTGCCCTGAAGGTCGGGACAAGAAGGCTCTGCAGGAATCATGGGCTGTCAGAACAAAATGGAAATGCTGATGCCCCCAGAGCACACTGCACAGTCACCGGGGGAAATTTTTAAACAACACCCAAGATGGATCCTGACAGGAGGGGGCCTGGACCCAGACCGGCCACCGAGGGCCAGTGGGCCCCCTGCCAGGGAGGCTGCACTTAGGGAGCCTCTCCTCATTCTCGTCATCGCCAACCCAGTGTCCCTGCCTCTGAGGGGAAGGGAAAGGGGATTTGTCAGGAGCTCAGAACTCTCTGGGTGTAAGGGTGATGTTGTAAACAGGAGCTGTTGACAAAGAGAAAAGACAATGACCAGTTTCCTGGCATTCTTGACGCAGTTGCTGAGTGCTGGCTTCCCCTGGGCCAGAATGTGCCAACCCTGGGCTCACAGAGGGACGCTGGATACAGGCCTTGCCCTCATGGAGCTCACAGCCTGCAGGAGACGATGGAAAAGAGCGAACCCCAAAGTAGTGGGATGGGGCTGTGACCATGCAAAACCCAGGCAATGGTGGGAGCCCAGAGCTTTGGCTCCTGACCCAGATGAAGCAGGGAAAAGCCGACAGGTAATCAGGGAGGCAGGTAAAAAGGTGGAAAGGGGTGTACCAGGCAGAGGGAACAGCATGTGCAAACAGACTCAGGTAGGAGAGTCCCTGGCACGTTTGGGGGACATCAGTGTGGATGGAGCAGGGAGGCAAGGAAACCAATCAGACAAAGGTTGTGAACCATGGAGAGCCCTAGAAATAGTGCTGAGCTGTGGGATCTGTGTCCAGAACCTCCTGAGAAGTCACTCAAAAGTGCCAAGGCTGGGACAGACACTGCATTTCCTAGACGACCCTGGCTACAGTGGAGAATGGGGGGAGGGGGGCCTGAAGCTGCTCTGCTGTAGGAAGCCAGGGGGAGAGGGAGTGAGGGTGGGATGGAGAGGAAGGTCTCGAGGAGCCAGGAGTGTGCTGGGAACACTCAGAGCAGGTTCACCAGGAGCTCAGGAGCCGGTGATCAGGAGCTTCTGCTGGTTACACACCGAGCTCAGCCAGGATGCAGGCCCCATCCCACCCACACTGCCCAGGGTCTAGTGCCCAAGGGGAGAGGCAGGGCCTACCTGGGTGGCTGGCCTCTCCATGGGACTGACCAGAGACCGGAATCTCATGCTGGGCAGGCTACTGAAGGATAGAGAGGAGCCTAGAGAGAGGCCCAGCTCTCCTTGAGGTGGGACATCAGCTGCAGGGGCCGCCACGTGCTGGGGAAGGTGAAAGGGACAAACACACCCTGCACCATCCAGGTCAGGGGCAAAGAGGGGCAGCCAGGCGAGGCGATGGAGATCATGGCGCTTACCAGGGGTCGTTGCATAGTGTCCTAAAAAGGAATAGAGGAAAAGCATCAGTCCCTAAAGTGTGCCTGGAGAGAGGGGATGAGAGGGGCACAGCCACGCCACACAGAGTCTGACCCCCTCAGTGAGTGCATCCGGGGTCCACTGAGTCCTTGCTGTGGAGCCTGTGTTATTAGCAGGAGGCCTAAGTGGGTTTCCCCAGCTCTTCCCTCAGCCCCATTGTTACTTGGGGGTCATCATCAGCGTCACAGCCAGGATCATTACACCATCATTTATTCATCATTTCCTACTTTTTGGAATTGTTCTAAGAGTTTACATACATTACCCATTTAAATTCTCTGCTCCCCGTTGGAGGCAAGTACGATCACGATCAACTTCTCTTAGTAAACGAGGAGGCTGAAACTCAGAGATGTTAACTCACTGCTAAAGGTCACAGAGCAAATGAGAGACAAGAACACACTCATGACTCCAGCTATATGTCCAGCATAATGGCCTCAGGGCCCAGACGCCCACCAGAGATAAAGTGGCCTATGAATGGTCTCCTGGAGTGAACAGACCAAAAGGACAAGCTCCTGCCTGCCCCCAAATCCTGAACTGAGCGACAGACACCATCAGCCGCCCGTCTTTAGCTCTCACTTAGTAGCAGGTCAGAGGTGAATGGACCTTCCAAGGATGACATCACGTGGAACCTGAGCAAATGACTCCAGCATCTTCGTGGTGGGCGCAATTATGGGAGAACCAGACTCGGTTCCGGCACTGCCAGAGAGTAGATTCCGTTCCTGAGCACACCACGTCGTCCAGGGTGATGGGGCCAGAGCCAGAGCCAAAATAGGCGTTTCCCAGGGCTGATACTGCATCACCGCACCCCAGCTGTCTGCAGACCACCTGGGCATCCTGAATGTCCCAGGAATCATCACAAACTGTCCCCCAGTTGCCACCATGGTAAATTTCCACACGCCCGGCACATGCACCAGAGGAGGAGGTGAAGTTGACTAATCTCAAGCTGGCGTCTGAAAGACATGCCGTAAATATGATGGCCATGGCCCACAACACATCTCCAAGACCAAGTGACCCACGGGCCTTTCCTCATCTCCAAAGTCACCAAATGGCACTGGTCACGGTACAGACAGCTCCATGAGGGAGCTGGAAGGAGCTGCAGACATCACATAGCTCAGACCCCTCCACCATCCAGATGGGGAGGTGTGGGCTCAGCAAGGAGAGTTAGTAGGTCCCCCAGGGAGTTGGTGGCAAGCCCAAGGCCAGGTGTTTCCCCTATTCTCCACACCTGGCTGCCCTGGCTTACCACAGTCACGGTCAGAGATAGGGAGAACGGGCAGCACATTGCTGAAACCCTTCTTGGGTTTCCTGTGGGAACCACAATGCACGCAGAGGAGGGAGCTGTGAAAATACACTGAGCCTCAAAGCTCACATCTAGTTTGCACTCACCTCTTGCAAAAGGGTTATACCAAGCATAATAGCCAGTGTTTCGGACACTGATATCACTTGGGAATCGAACAATCATTCGATTGTAAGAAGATGTGAATATTCGCCTGGTGCCATTACAAATTTTCCACAGCAAATTATTGCTATTGAGTGATCCATCCATAATTGCAATTACTGTGTATCTCCAGCCTGTATGAGAAAACGGATTCATGTCAACCTCGAAGGTCCTATTGTTCCTATATTTTATAGATAGTTTGGACTTTATCAGTGATGCTATTGAATCTAAGATTTTCTTCTTGCTCTTCCTCAATCAAATCAAAGGACTCCCCAGTATTGCCTCATGCTTCGTGGTAGGGATCAGAGCAACCTGAAATCTAGTCCAGGGCACATGAGCGAAAACCATCCCAGCCCAGGACACAGTCCGAACCACAGGGTGTGTGGAGGAGGACACATCCTTCCCCAGAGGACTGAGTGTCACTTACTGCAGATGGTTGAAGCCCAGGTTTATGCGATAGCCAGAGTTCACGTCTATCTCCCAGACACACTCCGCGTTGTTGGGGTAATATCCAGGATAGGACGGGCTGGAAAATGTCCCACTGGCATGGAATAAGAAGCCACCACAATTTGAAGAGTGTCCTAGAGAGGAGAGAGGGAGGGACATTGTCATTGTGGTGGGTCTTCAGGGGCATTGTGACATCGTCTGGGTAAGAGTCCTCAGGTTTCATCCTCTGCACTTAGAACGTGACTCCATTTTTCCTTAAACAAGCCGACTCTCCAGCCTGGCCATAGGCCACCCCACGTTAGGGGCCTTGACCTGAGTCTCTGCCTCCCCCATTGGGCCTGGAACAGTGATTCTCTGGCGAGAGGTGACCCAAGCTTTAGAGGGAGCATGTATCACCTTGTGGCAAAAATGCCAAGAAAACAACAAAGTGATTGTTGGCATTGTTCAATCGGTCACAGGGAGGGAGGTGGGGCTCAATCCTGGCTGAGCGGAGAGCTGGCCCAGGGAGAGCACCCTGGAACGTTACATGTTCCCTCGTGTCTCCTGGGAGCAGGAGATTCGGCCACTTGACAAGAAGCCTCATAAAGCGGGGTCGGGAGCAGGGCTTCTGCCACAGAAGGCCTGGGCTTACGTCTTGGCCCTGCTCTTATCAGCTCCATAGTCTTAAGCAAGTAACTTAACTACTCTGCCTCAGTTTCCTCATCTGAAAAATGGGGGTGATAATGGCACCTGGCTCATCAGATTCTTACAGGTACCCAATGAGACAAGATCTGTAAACCCTTAGAACAGAGCCCGGCTCATAATAGTTAGCCCCAAACAATATTAGCTATCATTATTTACCGGAGAGGGATAAATAACATTAAGCATTCAAAATTTTTGTCGGTTGGTTTATTTTAATAGACCATTTAAAAATACTTATGTACTCAGAGGAGATATAAATTAAAACTTTTTTTTCCTTATTTATAACTCTTTCTGTTTGTTTTTCTGAAGTGTACAATTCAATGGTGTTCATATAGTCAGAGCTCTGCAACCATCACCACAGTCCCTTTTAGAAAATCTTCATCACTCCGAAGAGAGACCTGCGCCCTTAGCAGTCACTCCCCATTTTCCCTCCGTATCTGAGCCCCAGGCAACCACCAATCTGCTTTCTGTCTCCACAGATTTGCCCATTCTGACGTCTCACACGGATAGAAGCACAGTTTGTGGTCTTCCGTGACCGGCTTCTTTCACTTAACAGAACGTTTTCAAAGTTCACCCATGTTGTAGCATCCATCAGGACTGAACTTCTTTTCACTGACAAATACTACTCCACTGTATGGGTAACCACGTTTGGTTTATCCATTCGCCATGATGAACATGTGGGTTGTTTCCACTTTGGGGCTGTTAGGAGTAATGCTGCCATCTATGAACATTGTATGTAAGGTTCTGTGTGGACTTATGCTGTCCTTTCTGAGAATATGCCTAGGAGTGTAACTGCTGGGTCCATGGCAACTCTATGTTTACCTTTCTGAGGAAGCGCCGAACTGTTTCCCACGGCAGGCGCACCGTCGTCCGTTCCCAGCAGCAGCGTGTGAGGCGGTGCTTGCCCCACAGCCTGGCCAACTGCGTTATCTGACTTTTTGATTCTGGCCAACCTACTGGGTGGGAAGTGGCATCCCTTTGTGGCTGTGATTTGCATTTCCCCATGGCTAATGATGTTCGGCATAGTTTCATGAGCTTTCTGACTGTTTGTGCATCTTCTATGGAGAAATATCTTGTCAGATCCTTCACTCATTTTTTAATAGGGTTATTTGACTTTTATTATTAGTGAAAAGTCTTTATATATTCTAGATTCGTCTCTTATCAGATGTATGATTTGCAAATATTTTCTCTTATTCTTTGGAAAAACAGTGTTTCTTAAAGAGAATTTGGCCTTTAAAATATTCCTACCCAGAAGTTATATTTCTACAGTGGGAAATAATCCAGGATAAGGCCAAAGTTTTAGAGACAAGGATACGCATTACAGATTTCTAAAAATATAATAAAGACAATTATAAAATAAAATAAAAATATTACTCTATGCAAATTATGTAAGTATATAAAATTTAATGAGAAAGAATAAATTCTTTCATCCTACGATTATTAATTGCTTAATAAATCATGGTATATACATACAAAGGAAAAAATGTGCAGCCAATTAACTTTATGGTGTAAAATAATTTCAATGCCATCAAAATACTATCTTTAAGGCAATGAAAAAAGTATTTATTATATACTCAAATGAAAAAGGATATTACAAAATAGGTTGTAAAGCTTGCTGTAATTTGTGCGTGTGTGTGGTATGTGTATGTGGAACATACATAAAAACACCGACAGTAATTATATATGCATCCATTCATTCATTTCTTCGTTGATTCTTTCTACAAACACTTATGGAACGACAGACAGGACACTAGATTAAGGTTGCAATCATGAAAAAGGCAGACATGGTCCCTGCCCTCAGGACGTGCATAGTTTGGCAGGAAAGACAAGCATGTAGTGCAAACATACTTCTCATGTTGTAATCCCCCAGCTTAACACTTTTCAACAGCTCCCGCTGCTCTTAAGATAAAGTCAGCATGTTAACCTGTGTGCAAAGCTCCGGATGATCTGGCCCTCGCCCAGCTCTCTGACAGTCCCTCCCGCCACCACCTCTCGAACTCATTTGAAAAGCCACGCTCCTTCCCGCCTGGGCCTTCAAAGCGTTCCTTCTGACTGGAGGCGTTTCAGCAGAGGACCCTGCTTCTCTTGTAGGCCTCAGCACAAGGGTCCCTTCATAAGGAACTTCCCCTGATCTCTCCATGACGAAAAGTCTCTACTAATATGGGCTCTTTCAACACTGTCACAACTGTCGTTAGATGGTTAATTTGGTATTTAGTATTTAATACCATGAGCTACCTGAGGGAGATCAGATTCTCTTTTTCATCATTCTGTAATTTTACAATAGTTCTTAATGGCAATGTGACCATACACAAAACAAAGACCTTAAAATACTTAGCGTAATGAGTTAGTATTGAATAAGAAGATTCTATGCACCAGGCACTATGCTAAATTTAGACCGGTAAATCTATTTGTGTCTTAAAGGAAAATGTGAGAAAGCATGTGAAGATTTATTTATAAAAATATTTCTTAGCAGAGAGTCATTTAGAACAACACAGAAATAGAAACAACTTGAATATCCAACAATTGGGGATTAAAAAATTTGTGGGCATGGCTGTGCAATGGAATACAATGCAGGCACTTAAACTGATGGGAAGAGAAGATTCAATGACATGAAAAAGTCACCATATCATTTCTTAAGAGCAACGGACAGCTATGGAACCATATCCATGTCATGGGGTAAAAATTACTTGAAAAATCAGGATTATTAGTGAAATTCTCCATTTATCCCAAAACTTTAGAGATAATACAAGAAAAATAAGCCTTTAATTCTATTCTCTGAAGAAGCACTTCTCTCACTTCCTTAAAAGGAGGGGAGGTAGATTTCCTTCGTTAAACCAGAAGTCATCGGCCTGCCAGGACAGACACAAAGGCTGCACGGGCACAGCCTGGATGTGGGCTGGGTGTGCCCACACTGGGTGCAGGGTGTGGAGGGGCAGCCGGGGCTGTCTGTGCGAGCAAAATGAGGTGGGCTGTGCCTTTGTAAGCCTCTGCTGCATGGACAGCCAAGCATGGACTAAGACTTCCAAGCCCGACGGTCCAGGTGGAAAAAAGTGATACTTAACCTCAGCGCTTGTAGGCGATGCGTGCCACCAATCTAGGAAGAAAATGAAGCCATTTTAACGTTTAGCATTTAGCATTTTAGTAGATCCTAAGTAGATCCTTTAGTAGCATTAAGTAGATCCTTTTAGTAGATCCGTTTTCAATTCCATGGTCATTAGTTGGGCAGAGAAAGGTAGATCCCTGTCCTTACTATAGGAAGGCCCTTGACCCTCTCGATGTGCACTGGGAATGGCCAAGGAGGCGAGGGTCCACAGCCCTTCCCAGTGAACTGAGCACTGAATATTTTCAGTACCCCATAAATAACACTAGGGGGTGGCTCTCTCCGAGGGAAGGAATTCTTTAGCAGACAAATATTTGTAGGTGGGTACTCGGCCCTGTTTCTAAAATGGTCACATTCTCCATGGGATGGCTAGGACAGTCGTCTTCATCTGAAATCAGCAGAGGCCACAGGGGCTGTCCAGCCTGAGCTCAGTGAGAGCAATGGTTCTGGGGACTCGGCTGGTCACCAGAAGCAAGTCCAGGCCGTTGAGGAGAAATCATTGCCCAGGAGGAGGCTGCCCATCTCCTCCTCGCTCTGGAAACCTGACAGAGCAGAATTCCAGGGAGGACTCTGACTGAGTCAGGCGGCAGCCACTCACCTGGGATAGTGGAAGAGATTAGAGCATCTGTAAGACAGAGAGGAAACGAGTCAGCCTCTGAGCCCAGGACATGTGGGAACAAGTCCCCTGGGATGCTAAGAAGGAGAAATGCCTGTCCCTCCACCACTGAGAAGGGCTTCCTGGGTGTTGGCCAGCAGACCTGAAGAGGAGACATATGTCTCAGGGGACAGTCTCCACAAAGAGATGTTGGGGAATTTGAGCTTATACCTTCATGTCCATTAAGCCCTCTCTGCTCCGGTGCCACCTACGGAAGATGCTGCAGCCCACCCAGAACGTTCAGGGACAGCAAGGGCTATCGGTGAAGTGATCAGGGAAGCTGCCACCTTCCAGCGAAGCTCAGAGTGAGAGGAGATCCTGAAAGAGGTGCCAAGTGGAGAAAATCACACATTAGAATAGAGGCCCAGTATCTTGGAGGACCACCTGAGCAGGGATGCTGGAATCCTGCCCATGACCACAGTTGTGCGAGAGCCAGCAGTTAATTAATTACCCCATATGTAGTCCAAATGAATGCACCCACCATGGGGTGAAGGTGGACCATTATCCAATTGCAAAGCTGTGCCCTGACAGGCAAGCAGGGAAAGGAGCAGAGACGTAATATCCAACCCAGGTCTAAGGATGCCCAAATGGGGGGAAACACTGCTTGAAGCCTGATGGAGGCGAGCAGTAATGGAACCCCCAAGCCACACTGAGCACTCCCTGGGGTAGAGTTGCATGGAGACCAGTGGCAGGCCAAGGTGGTGACAGCGTTTGGAGCTTGTGGGCTCCTGTGTGGTCCTGCCTGGGTTCTCCCAACTGCTAGGAGATCAACGAAGCTGGGCCAGATGCCTGTGGTACAGGCATTCTCCACGCCTCTTCCCAGAACGGCAGCCCGTCGCCTGACAGCCAGGACCCAGGTCCGGGCAGGACTCCCGAGGACTCCCGGGCTTCCCCTGAGATCCCAGAGGTGGCCCTTTGCCGAGCATCGGGACAGGGAGCCCGCTCGAGACAGGTGGCTGGCCCCTCAAGATCAGACCGAGGCCATGGGCTTCAGAGCCTGCTCCCTCTGTCCCACCCCACCCACAGTGCCAACGATAAGCAAGGGCACACCCTGAACCTCCTCCCATCACTCTCCCACCCAAAATGGACCCCGAAGCAGAGAGGGAGCCCTAGGGAGTACAGACAGGAAGACTGACCCAATGGCGATGCCACATCTCAGGTTGTTATGGGCCAGGGGGCTGGAAGTGCAACAGAGGGAAGGTAGAGTTACAAGTCATGTCAAGAAGGACTCAAAAAAGGCTTTGGTTGGCCTCATGACAACAGTCCCATGTGTGGAGCCCGCCACTTGCTGCCTGTGTGTGCCACACCAGCCACCTGCTCAGTGACCCCCCCCTTGGGACCAAGGCCCTGCTGCACATCAGCCTGCTCCCGCCCCTCTCTAAGCCTGGCATGTCCTCTTTGCCGTGGGAAGACCTTTGCTGCTGCCCTCCTCTGCGTCATGGACTCGCTGGTGCTCCCGAGGGCATGCCCAGTATCTGCAGCTTGCACAGAAAAGTCAGGGGCTGCAGAGGGTGGACATTGAGCCCATCAGGTATCCTGCTACACGGAACCCATGACGACTCAGCCCCTTCCTATCCCTTGGGTACCATCCCTGACACTTTAGGATGCCAGTGGGACCCTGCTGGAACTGAGGGTGCTGCAAGGAGCGAGGGTTGGAGGGAATGCGGCCTGCTCCAACAGCCCACCAACAGAAGGCCAGCGGTGATCAACGTTCTCCTCCCACAAAAGCCCCCTCAGCCTGGGTGGTACCGGGGCAAAGGTCCCGGCACATGCGGCTGTTTCCCTGAGTTGCTTGTGACGCTACCAAAGTGTTGGAGGAAAGCTCGGATTGCCTGATGGGAAGACGAACGTCTTGGGAGTCCCATGATGAGTTAGGAAGCAGGTGTCGGGCGTCTTGGTGACAGAGGGGAAAAGCCACGTGACCCTTAGGTTCTGCCAAGAGCAGTGGTTCATCTAGAGTGAGGGGAAAAGGGACAGGTGGCCAGGGAGAACAGGGACTTCCTGACGAAGCCACTGGGTACTTACTCGGCAGGGCTGTGGTTGGGGGCTGAACAGCTGTGAGAAAGAGAAGGAAAGTCAGACCCAAAGAGCACAGGGGCCCCCCCGGACTCCAAGCTTGAGCAGACTCAGCGGGGATAGGCTGAGCTGCAGCTGCTCACGTGCCCCCCCGCGTGGACGCCGCCAGCCACCTGCCACGCAGCTCTCGGGGCCTCCGGGAGCTCCACCCTCTGTCCCACCCCCAAGGCCTGCCTGGCTGTGCCCAAGGGCTTCCTTCCCAGAAGAGGAAAGCCCCTTACCGTGCCCGGGACAGGCCACCCCGGCCGCGGCGTGGACGCCCCACGCGAGCAGCAAGGGGGAGTCCCAGCAGCTCTGGAGGAAGACCCCTTTGCCGCAGCCCAGGGACAATGATTTGGAGACTGATTGAGGCATCCCCTAGTCTCTGCTCAGGATCGAGCTCCAGCTCCAGGGCCCTCACTGGCTCGTGGGCATTCTGTGCTGCAGGCACTTGCCATGCCCTACACCCCACCCCACTTCTCTGCTTCTCCTAGTGCCCTCCCCAAGTCACAGTCTAGCCACGAATCCTGTCCTCTGAGTTGGCTTCTGGCAGGACCCAAAGCGATGCTCCCATCAAGGAGTGAGGGCGCTCCACTGTCCAACCGCCCCTGCCAAAGCCGTGTGCCCCCAGAAGGAAGCCCCAGAGAAAACCAGGTGTGGACCCGGCAGTCCGTCCTGCCGAGAAGGCGGGGGCTCGCTTGGTCTGCCCACGCACGGCGCGGTGGACGCTCTCTGGGACCCACTGTGCGGTCATTGCTCCCAAGCAGTCCTGGTGCCTCACGGTTGGCCAAAGAGGAGAGATCGAGCTGTAGGGGCCAGCTGCCCCTAGGAAACCTCAGAGCTGCACAGGATCTCTGGGAGGGGCTGGGGTGGGGAGGGGCCCTGGAGTGGGACGTGCGGCCGTTCTCAGCAAACGTCCCGCCAGAAGCGGGTCCGGGGATCTCGGAGGCCCACCTGAGCAGACGACACCGGCATCCTCGTCGTGACCACAGTTGTGGCTGTTCCAGCCGTTGTGGGTGCAGCTCCACAGGTAGGACTCCTGGCCTGAGCAGCGCACGTCGTCCAGGACAATTGGCCCCGAGCCCTGACCGAAGTGGGCACTTCCTGGGGCTGACGTGACCCAGCCACAGCCCAGCTGCCGGCACACCACGTTGGCATCGTTGGTGTCCCAGTCGTCGTCGCACACGGTGCCCCATGAGCCTCGGTACAGGACCTCAACCCGGCCCTGACACCGGTCACCTCCGTTCACCAGCCTCAGGGCCAACCCTGATTCAGTCCCTAGGGGGAGCACAAGAACACCTCCTCTGTGTCTGGCTTGAGGACCCGGGCCTAAGGCACATTCCACACTCAGGGGAGATCCTCACAGCTTCATTTCCGGGGCCAGCTGCCACCTTGGCAGGTGCCCAGAGGGGAATCTTCTTCACAGGGAAAGGAGCAGAGACACACTGTGCAGCTGGGGTCTCAGGAGGCCCAAATAGAGGAGAAGTACCCTGTGAGGGCCACTGGAGGTGGGCAGGAAGGGAACCCCCAAGCCACATTGGGCACCCCTTGGGGTGGAGCTCCGTGGGGATCGGTAGCAGGCCAAGCCCATCACCCTGTTTGGAGCTTGTTGACTCATGTGCGGTCCTGCCTGGGTTCTGCCAAGTCCCAGCAAACGAGGGGACCCGTCAAGAAGCCAGAGGCTTGCTTGGTCTGCCCACGGGGCGGTGGACGCTCTCTGGGACCCACTGTGTGGCCATTGCTCCCAAGCATTCATGGTGCCCCATGGCTCGCCAAAGAGGAGAAGGGAGCTGAGCCCACCGTTCCCCCGGAGGCTGCGCAGTAGGGGCCAGCTGCTCCCAGGATCACGGGCGGCACAGGATCTCTGGGAGAGGCTGGGGTAGGGAGGGGCTCTGGAGTGGGAAGTGCATTTGTTCTCAGCAAAGGTCCCACCAGAAGGGGGTTTGGGGATCTCAGAGGCCCACCCGAACAGATGACACCGGCATCCTCGTGGTGACCACAGTTGTGGCTGTTCCAGTCGTTGTGGGCTCGGCTCCACAGGTTGGACTTGTATCCTGAGCAGCGCACGTCGTCCAGAAAAATATACCCTGAGCCCTCACCGAAGTGGGCACTTCCCGGGGCCAACATGGCCCGGCCACAGTCCAGCTGCCTGCACACCACGTTGGCATCATTGTTGTCCCAGTCGTCATCACACACAGTGCCCCACCAGCTTCGGTACAGGACCTCCACCCGGCCCTGACACGGGTCACCTCCATTCACCAGCCTCAGGTCCGAACCCGATTCGGTCCCTAGAGGAAGACACAGCATTCCTCTTGTAAGTTCCTAGTGAGAGACAAGGTCTCAGACCTCTAAAGAATTCCTAATTTTTCCCGTTACACAAAGATCCTTGAGAGAATCAGTAACTAGGTTGGATCCATAACATTCCTTGAATTAGGGTGCTTCACCGTTAAAGGTACAGTGACTGCTCTGCCAAAACCCAATCCACCAGAGCTGAAGGAAAAGAATACCTCTCAGGTGGATCCTGGAGAGGACCTGAAAACTATTCACAGGTTCCCTCACTGAGCACACATGGGCAGAGCTCCAACTTGCTTGAATCTGGGACGCATGAATGCTCATGCTGAAGAGTAGCCTGATGCCCCAGGATGTCATAGCAGGAGCGCTGACACTCGTCTGGGGCTCTGAGGTTGCTTAGAGAGCATTTCACCACTGGTCCTCTTGGCCCCACAGCCGGGTCTTTGGGGCCACTTTGGCCAGGGTCAGCACAGAGGTGTTCTGATGGGAGAACTGGCACTGTGGACAAGAGACGGATCCCACTGGACACTGAACCAAAGCACAGTGATTCTTGGAGACCCCATGTTCAGGCTGACCACTCCCCACAGGAGGATGGACCAAGAAGGAGGCTCCCACTCAAGCCAGGCTCCCTGGTTCACATGGGATGTCCCTTTGCACAACATGCTCACAACACTCACTCTCACCCCATCCCCTAAAAGTTTCCCTTGAATGAGAGCCACACCCTTGGTACACTCCGCATCATGAGCTTCAGAGAAGGACCCATATGAAACTATTCATTACCGACTGCAGCCGGAGTCTCAGTGCTTGTTATAGTAGTCCCTGCATATACAGATTGTAGAAGGGGAAAGAAACAGAAGCTACAAAGTGAGGACTCCTCTGAGGGACTCAAGGACCGAAAATAAAGTAGAATCTGCCAAGGAGATGTTACTTAGGCCTTGAATTTTATTTTGGTGTGTGACTTTGGAAAAGTCAAGAAACCCGTTTAGACTCGAGGTCTTCCACTCTAAAAGACTGTTTTTGGGGGCAATATCTCTGCGACAACATATGGACCCTGGCTCTGACCTTCCCACAGGGACCTATGCAGGGCTCCAGGGGTGGATACAAAAGACTCTTCCCATCCCGATGCTTCTGATTGATTTCTCTTGTCTAATCATTGGCTAGTACATATGGTATTGACATGTGTACCATCAGGATTCCCAGCTGATGCATGCTGACTCCTGGGCAGGGACCTTGGTGTGGAGGCTGTCCTTCCTCTTGTCCCAGGGCCAAAGATTCCCCAGGAGATGGGCAGTGACTTTCCTTCCCAAAGCTGAGTTGCCAGAACCTCAGGCTATATTGACTGTACCTCCCAGCGCTCCCACTACAGGCCCCCAGGGGGATGCCCGAGACCTCTGATGCCAACAAGCTGAAGGAACACGGGTCCTCTATGTTGAGAAGGAACCAAAGTGGCCTAATATGGGCTCAGGAAAGGGCACAGGCAAGGATGCTGGCCCAGCTGGTTTGCACCTGCCTTTCCAGGCCCTGCAGCCAGAGACCCAGCACCACAGCCCCGCCAGGGGTCAGCGTGCATCATTCAGACCACAGGCTGGGCACTGAGCATGGGTAACAGGACCTCCCTGGAGACAGGACTCCAACCTCCAGCCTGGACGTCCTTGGAGATGCCTCTGCTGCTTGATTCCTTCCCAACCTCAGGGACATTGTCCGTGGAAAGGATACCCATTCAGGCCTGAGGCCTTGTTCAGAGGGCCCCCCTTTGGGACCGGAGTACTCCCACCTCTTACACCTTTGGCACCCCTTCTGGATCAGAGATCACCTATGGGTGCAGTGGCATAATGAACCCAACAGGGATTCCATGAAACAAATGCCTTCCACAGCAGCTGTCGGTGGTGCCTCCGTGGAAATCAAGGAAACTACAAAACAGAGAAAAGAAGAGGTCATTCGATGCTGCCCCTCATTTGGGGAGGGCTGGCCCTCTGCTTCCTCAGCTCTAAAGCAAGAGGTGGATGCAGAGTTTCAGAAGCCCCGCCCACTCCTAAAAGGCTATGTTTCTTTCTTGTGAAACTCATCTCTTGGTCACTTTGCCAGCGCTCGTTCAATGCTGAGATGCCACCAGGGACATTCTTTGCTCCTGTCATCATCCTCCCACCCCCTCTGCTTCCACAGTCGCCATCCAAAAACTCACCCCGTTGATTAACATCCCCGCCTGATTCACAAGATTGGACTTCAAATACTAACCGCCTACTTCTGTGGCTCAAACACACCCTCAAATGACAAATGTCTACTGTCGCTGAGATATCCCTGAAAGGTGGTACCAACTAGGAAGGATGACAGTTTCCAAAAACGCATCCTCAAATGCTGAAATAAACCCGCTCCAAAGTGACAGCTTGGAGGGCCACATTCTCTTGGGGAGCCCATACTCCTGTGGTGGTTGGATTACCAGGGTCACATTCTACGCATGGGGGCGTGTGCACAGCCCAGGCCACATGGCAAATGCCAGACGTTGCTCTGAAGATGGACAATTTAACTAGAAACTGCCCCTTGGCGGACACACACCGGGCAGTATCCTCGGAGTTTCTTTGTGGCTTTAAGGACCCCTTGGTGCCCGAGCACCGACAGCACTCTGTGAACCAGGGAGGAATGCGGCACTGGGATTTGCTTGGTTGAGCCAGGGAGAATTTCTCTCTTCCGCTGAGGATGTAAATACCTATTGCTTGTCATGTAATCCTCAGTATTGAGAACACACTGGTTACTCCTCATTCCGATTCTGGTATAGATTTAAGAGTGAAGGACCAGAAGTCCCCCATCCTTCTCCCCTCCTTTAAAAGGAGAAGAAAGGGCCCCTTAGGAAGGCATTGGGTCATCTCAGGACGGGGACGGCCATGATGCTGCTCATCGGAAGGTGTCCAGTGGGTGATTGTGTCAGCAAGTTCTGAAGGGGACTGAGTTTGAAACCCGCCTTCACTACCTCCAGCTTCGGAATTTAGGCTAGTCTCTTGCGCTGTCTGGGCCTCCATTGCTTTATCTGTGAAAAAAGGACAGTGAAACCAGATCTCTGACCTCAAAGAAGACATGACTTTGAGTACTTCAAAGCATTATGCGCATGCCCCATGTTCTGGACAGCAGGAGCCCCTGTCCTCAGAGTAGCACAGGTGACAGCATGAGGCGATGCCTGCACTACCTGAGGACATGACTCCAGCATCTTCCCTGTGGCCACATTCATGGTTGTACCACTCGCTGTGGGGGCAGCTTGACAGGTAAGGCTCCCATCCCGAGCGGTACACTGCACCCAGGAGAATATTCCCTGAGCCCTGACCAAAGTGGGCCCCGCTCAGGGCTGACACTGAATGGCCACAGCCGAGCTGCTGACAGACGACATCTGTGTCCTGGGCATCCCAGCTGTCATCACACACGGTGCCCGTAGCTTTGGTCCAGGACCTCCACCCCGCCCTGACAGCGGTCGCCTCCATCACCAGCCTCAAGGGAAAGCAGCATCAACACAGTGGATAGCCCTCGTCTTCACGGTTTCCATCCCTGGTTTTTACCACCCGGCACTGCCTGTTCTCAACCTTCCTCTGACTCCTGCCCCGTCTCCTTCACTGATTTTTCTCCTCTCTCGGGACCACACGTATGGCTGCTCTCCCAAGCACTGTCTCAGCCCTCTTCTTACTCTATCTTTTCCCACTAAAGGACCTCATGTACTCTGAGAGCTCTCCAGGAAGAGGACCCCAAATCCGCCTCTCCAGGGCTGATCAGCCCTGACAACCCCAGTCTTAACTTCTACACCAACATTGTCAACG